GGTCTCCCCAGAAAACACCCATTGCCCTGAATCTGGAGTGAGGTCTTTGTTTCCCGAGTTTACTTTTTTTTTTTTTTTAATTTTTAATGTTTATTTACTTTTGAGAGCAGGGGAGGAGCAGAGAGACAGGGAGACACAGAATCCAAAGCAGGTCCCAGGCTCCAGGCTCTGAGCTGTCAGCACAGAGCCACATGTGGGCTCAAACCCATGAGCTGTGAGATCATGACCCGAGCCGAAGTCAGATGCTTAACCAACTGAGCCACCCAGGTGCCCCCTGAGTTTACATTTTAACATACAGGGATGGTGAGAGGAAGTCTGCATTGGTTTCTGCTGGTAAAATAACAAGACTTTTTTCTTTCTTTCTTCCTTTCTTTCTTCACTGACAGCACTTTTCTTAAAAAAAATTTTTTTTAAATTTTTTTTTCAACGTTTATTTATTTTTGGGACACAGAGAGACAGAGCATGAACGGGGGAGGGGCAGAGAGAGAGGGAGACACAGAATCGGAAACAGGCTCCAGGCTCCGAGCCATCCACCCAGAGCCCGACGCGGGGCTCGAACTCACGGACCGCGAGATCGTGACCTGGCTGAAGCCGGGCGCTTAACCGACTGCGCCACCCAGGCGCCCCCTTAAAAAATTTTTTTAATGTTTATTTCTTTGAGAGAGAGAGCGTGTGCATGCACGTGCATGAGTGCAAGCAGGGGAGGGACAGAGAGAGAGCGAGACACAGAATCCCAAGCAGGCTCCAGGCTCTGAGCCCAATGGGGGGCTGAACTCACAAACCAAGAGATCATGACCTGAGCCGAAGTTGGATGCTTAACTGACTGAGCCACCTTGGTGCGCCTATTAACAAGACTTTTCAAACAAAAATCCAAACAGCACATGGAATATAAAATGAAAAGAGAACACCCCACCCCACCCCCAAAGAAAGGAAAGCAATTAACAGCTAGAGTATGAATGTCCCTAGCATGTCAGCCCCAACAGGGCAGGAATTCCGGTCTGTCCTGTTCACTGCTGCTGAGTCAGCCAGTCCTGGGCATTACAGTGGGTGTTCAATGCCCGTTCAATCAAACTTTACCTTCCTTGGATTATGCCCATTTTCATTTTTAAAAAAAAATGTGTTTTTTTTTTAATTTTTTTTTTAACGTTTACTTATTTTTGAGACAGAGAGAGACAGAGCATGAACGGGGGAGGGGCAGAGAGAGAGGGAGACACAGAACCGGAAGCAGGCTCCAGGCTCTGAGCCATCAGCCCAGAGCCCGACGCGGGGCTCGAACTCACGGTCGGTGAGATCGGAAAAAAATGTTTTTAATGTTTATTTTTGAGAGAGAGAGCGCAAGGAGGGGCGGGGCAGAGAGGGAGGGAGACACAGAATCTGAAGCAGGCTCCGGACTCTGAGCCATCAGTACAGAACCTGATGCAGGGCTCCAACTCACAAACAGTGCGATCATGTCAGACGCTTAGCCGACTGAGCCACCCAGGCGCCCCTGATCATGCCCATTTTCAAAGCACACTTTTTTACGTGAGCCTGGACCATTTGGTTAAGATGGTGTCTGTCAGGTGTCTCCGCGGTAAGGTTCCTGTCTTTTGCTTTGCCACACTTTATTCTTTGAAGGAAAGTCACTACCTCTTCTGAGTACAACCCACATGGAAAAGGAGGCGGGAAGGGTTGAGTTCTAGCTGCGGGACCGAGCATTTCAACTTACCCTATTTGGAATTAATCTTTAAGGGAAGATTTGACTTTACCGCCCTCACGCCCATTTTATTTATTTTGAAAAAGAGAGCGGGGGAGGGGGGCAGAGGGAGAGAGAGAGAGAGAGAGAGGGAGAGAGAGGGCATCTTAAGCAGGCCCCCCACGCTCAGCGTGGAGCCCAAGCGGGCTCCACGGAAGGACCCTGGGATCCTGACCTGGGCGGAAATCAAGAGCGGGATGCTTAACCCAGTGAGCCACCCCGGGGCCCCTGCCCTCCTCGCGCCCATTTTAAAGACCAGGAAGCTGAGGCTGAAGACGACAAACTTCCTCACTAGAGGGTGGCCCAGCCCAGGGTGAGGCCCGACCCAGTGATCGAGGGCCGTGGGCGCCCCAGGTGGGGAGGAAGGGGGCGACTCGGCCCGCGCGGCGGGGAGGCAGAGGGAGGAACTTCGGTGTCTGAGCCCCGGCCCCGGCCCCGGCCCGGGCTGCAGCCCAATCGGCGGGCCTGGGCCGTCCCCCGGGGTGCTCTAACCCATTTTACAGACGTGCTGCCTGCGCCCCGGAGGAGGCGTGGCGGCGCTCGGTGGCCCAGCAGGATTCCGGGGGCGGCGGGCCAGGCCCGGGAGGACACCCGAGCCCAGGAGGCCGAGGCGCCCGCCCTCCCCGCCGGGGATCACCTGGGCCGGCCCGGGGCCCGCGGGCCGGGCGGAGAGGGCCGCCGCCTCCTCAAAGCCCGGCAGCCCGCGAGCGTCCCGCACTCCAGCCGTCCGGGCCCCGCGACGCCGCCTGCCCCGCTGCCGACAGGTGAGACCGGCCGTGACCTCCGCCACGGCCCCGCGGGAGGGGGCTCCGCCTGCCCCGGTGACCCACTTCCTGTTTGTCCGAACTGCGGGGGCGGGAGGCACAACCGGCTAGCCCGCACTGGGTGACCGGGGGCGGGTCACCTCACCTCTCTGAGCAGGTGACCTCCGCGCTGGATGAGCCCCCCCCCCCCATCCCACCCCAGTGCGCCCTCGCAACTGACTGGAGGGACCCGTCGTGAGTGCGCAGGGGACGAATCAGGGCGGGTGGAGGAAGGCAGGGAGGTGAGGGGCAGGTCAGACGGGCCCCAAGGGCAGGGGTCCCACTGGCCAAGCGCCTGCCTACTCTCAGGGGCAGCGGCCACGGGGGGGGGGGGGGGCGCTGCGGGCAGCCGCTGAGGGTGTGAGGGTCAAAAATCAGTGGTCACAAGGTGTGTCACCAGCTGCCTCCCCTCCTGGGTTCCTCCTGTGGGGAATGGGGGTGGGGAGGAGGGGAAGGTGTGGGCAGGACTTCCTGGAAAAGGGAGACCCTGGCGTTTGGGGGAGGGAGGTGACCCTGGGACTCAAACCCATAGGTTGTCAAACACACATCACCCACCAGGCACACAACTCACGTGAGACACTCAACCCAAACACACGCAACCTGACTCAGGCCCAGAACGGGGACACAGATGGGCGTCCCACGAAGTTTCACTTTAGAGCCCAGGCGAATGTCACAGACACGCCACCCGGGCCTTGCAGGCTCAGTGCGCACATCTACAGGGACAAAGGACTCCCAGGCACACAGCAGACATGTGACCCAGGCAGGCACGCTTGGCTACACACAGGAAACAGCTCAGACACACCCGTGCACAGGCAGCAAGCGCGTCCCTGGAGCACATGGACGCACAGGAGGTGTCGGGCTGGGGTGCACACATTCAGCCCCAGACCCAGCTCACGCACCTCACCGGGTGCCCCGGGGCCCACGACACAAGCAAGCTCGTGTGGGCACGCTTAGAGGCCGTGAGGGCAGGCGCGGCTGCACGTGGGCCAGCCCCCGACCCCGAATCCCGTGTCCAGCACTGGGGAACTCCAAAGCTCACATGACCCAAGGGGAGGGCTTCTGGAACAGTCTGCGGAGAAACTGCATCATCCTCACTAATGATCCATTTCCGTCCGCCCCAGGGAATAAAGGCTCAGTGACCGCCAGTTCTGCCCAGGAGCTCACCTGCCTCTCTGAGCCCCCCGGCTGACTGGCTTGTGCCTCTCCCAGGGTGAGTGCGGGGTGCGGGACGAGGGAGGCCGGAATGGGCCCGAAAGGCCACCCTTCCCCGGCCCAGGCCGGGCCCCGCCTACCCTCTGACCCTCCCAGCCCTGCTGCCCTGAGGTCCTGGGAACTAGGGCCCCACCCAAGGCTTTCCCCGGGGCCAGCCCTGCAGGGGTCTCCCGGGCCTGCTGCCCAGGCCTCAGCCCCCGGCCCTCAGGCTCCGTCTCTCCCCTCCCAGATGGACACACAGACTATACTGCTCATCTTGCAAGCCTCACTGGTGCTCCCCCTGGCTGACGGGGCCAACCCAGTCCTGCGCTTTGTGGCTGTGGGTGACTGGGGAGGAGTCCCCAATGCCCCGTTCTACACAGCCCGGGAAATGGCCAATGCCAAGGAGATTGCCAGGACCGTGCAGATCCTAGGCACAGACTTCATCCTGTCCCTGGGGGACAATTTCTACTTCACTGGCGTGCAGGACGCCAACGACAAGAGGTTTCGGGTGTGTGACCCCGGAGTGGGGGTGGGGGGTCATACGTGGAAAAGCCGCTCGACCTTTGGGACTCTGGGGAGGGCAGAGGGAAGCTGACGCTTGCGCGCACCTGGGGCGCTCCGTGTCTCCCTGGGCCTCGGCCCCTCACTTGGTGGGAGCCTCGGGGTAGCTGCTTGACCCTGGGGGTGGGGGTGGGGCGTCCCTTCTGTGTGCCACAGGAGACCTTCGAGGACGTGTTCTCTGCCTCCTCCCTCCGCAACGTGCCCTGGTACGTGCTGGCTGGCAACCACGACCACCTGGGGAACGTCTCCGCGCAGATCGCCTACTCCAGGATCTCTCAGCGCTGGTGAGCCGGCCCCCAGCCATGCCGCCCCCCCCCCCCCCCCCCCCCCCGCCCCCGCCTCGCCCAGGGGGACCGAGAGCCGAAGCCAGGGCTCGAACCCGGGCCTCGTCTGCTCAAGAGGTGGCGCCCTGTGCCTCTGTCTCCTCCGCAGGAACTTCCCCAGCCCTTACTACCGGCTGCGCTTCAAAGTCCCACGGTCCAATGTGTCTGTGGCCATCTTCATGCTGGACACGGTGACCCTGTGCGGCAACTCGGACGACTTCCTCAGCCAGCAGCCCGAGAGGCCCCGTGACGTGGCGCTGGCCCGCACGCAGCTGTCCTGGCTCAAGAAGCAGCTGGCGGCGGCCAAGGAGGACTATGTGCTGGTGGCCGGCCACTACCCCGTGTGGTCCATCGCCGAGCACGGGCCCACCCGCTGCCTGGTCAAGCAGCTGATGCCGCTGCTGGCCACATACAAGGTCACCGCCTACCTGTGCGGCCACGACCACAACCTGCAGGTGAGGGGTCTGCGGGGGAGGTGAGGAAGGGGCCCCCAGCCCAGCCGGCGGGCCACACGGCACACCGGGATCGGCCTGCCGCCCGGCGGTCTCCCGAATGTCCCTCAAGCTGTATGGTGTCTAACCAGAAAAGAGCCCAAAGTTTCCCGAAATCCGTCCTACCAGCTGCTAGTTGCTCATTCGCTTCTCTAGCTGTGAAGCAGGGTCAGTCCATTGCTACAGGGGAGGAAACTGAGGCCCAGAGGGTTTCTGCTCCTCGCCCGAGGTGACGCTGTGGTCGGGGACAGACCCGACCCTGGATTCGACACAGGGGGGGCACAAAGCCCGCGGTCAGCCTCATCGAGGGGCTGGGGCCGCTGACCCTGACCCTGCGCCCTCCGTGCACAGTACCTCCAGGACGAGAACGGCGTGGGCTACGTGCTGAGCGGGGCCGGAAACTTCATGGACCCCTCGAGGAAGCATATGCGCAAGGTCCCCAACGGCTACCTGCGCTTCCACTACGGGGCCGAGGACTCGCTGGGGGGCTTTGCCTACGTGGAGATCAGCCCCAAAGAGATGAGCGTCACTTACATCGAAGCCTCGGGCAAGTCTCTCTTCAAGACCAGACTGCCGAGGCGAGCCAGGCCCGAGCACCCACGCGTGCGCCACTCTAGGGCCTGAGGCGGGAGGGGGGGCCTCCCTGCCGTCGGGTGGCTGGGCCCCGCTGGGCCGCGTGCCCGTGGGCAGGCTTCCTCACGGGCCTGTGGAGCTGCGGCGGAGCAGAAGGAGAACCACAGACGAGGAGCGGTGGCGCCAGGTGGCCCTTGTGGCAAGGATGCCCGCGTCTGTGAAAGCATCGTGGGCACGTGGACCAGCCGGCGTGCCGTGCCCCGTGGCCGAGCTTGTCCAACCTGAGCTCCAGGCGGTGGGG